AAATTAAAATTCAGAAAGCTTCATGTTTCAGAAGTGGTGGTCAAACCTCGAAGCAGAGAACATTTATTGTATATATATATATATATACATATATATATATATTATATATATATATATATATATATATATATACAATACACTACATACTAATACTGTGTAATATTTATCATTTAATACCTTTTTGTTGACCCCCAAAAAACAGTGAATCAGTAAACATAGAATAAAACATAACTTCTGGTGTTAAATTTCTAGTAGTTAAATTTATAATGTGTGTGTCATTTTTGCGTAAAATAACAATAACAGTCATTAATATGGCGAGTGATTCCAAACTTTTGAACAGGATTTATTCTAATTTTAAAAATTCCTATTAAAAAAAATGTTAAAATTTATAATTGTCACCAGTGACTACAGATCCTGCATGTTACCCCCACAAAATCCCTCCAAATCCGCCCTGTCTGTTTCTGCCTGTCCCTCTCCAGACCCCCCAGCAGCAGACCCTCAATTGCAGGGCCTCCAGAAAATCGCCCTCATGTTTATTTGAATTAAGGCGGCCGAGACGAGCTTCGGCTCGCTAACGAGCTCCAGACTGCCGGGCAATGTGCAAACCATCAGTGCGGATTTTCCAGCGGCCAACGAGGCCTCGGCGGATCAGCCCTGCCCTCCCTCATCACTCGCCTGCTTAAGCCTTTTATACGCACGCTTCCTGTCCAGAGGAATTTAGAGCGGAGCGCGGAAATGCTAGCTAAAGGCCCGGAGCCCGGAACCCAGAGCCCGGAGCCTGTGAGTGTATTTGTGTAGCAGACTCAAAGACAGACAGTAACACTTCCTTTAGCACAAATATTCATTTTTAATGGAATTCTGGGAAAAACAGTTTAGAGAAAAATCAAATTAACATGATTTCACACTTTAGCCTTAATATAGTCGATCAGCCAAGACATGTTTGGTGTCTGAATTCTGCCGCTTTAGCTTTAGTGCTGGCGCTACGAGGCTAACGTGGCTAAAATGCTTATATTGTTATGTTTAAAAATGTATGTTGCATAAAAACGTTTACAGAATAGTATTCATGTAACAGTGTCAGCAGAAAGCAGCAGCTGAAGTACAGTGACTTAACTTATATAGTGTGTATTTAAATATTACAAACTTTTCACCATATTTTTCAAACTTTAGTTCAATATTTAAGGCTTTTTGTGAAGCTTCAAGGTGATAAATAACATACTATGATTATATACAAGCCCATTTCCAAAAAAAGTTGGGACACTGCGCAGAATGTAAATAAAAATAAAATGCAATGATATGCAAATTATGTAAAATGTACTTTTTTTTAGGAAAATACTACAAAGGCAACATATCAAATGTTGAAACTGAGAAATTTTTTTTTGAAAAATATTCGCCCATTTTGAATTTGATGCCAACAACACCTTCAAAAAAGTTGGGACGGGGGCCTGTTTACCACTGTGATTCATCACCTCTTCTCTTAAGAGCACTCTAAGCGTTTGGGAACTGAGGAGTCACTGCTGTAGTTTTGAAAAATGAAATGAAAGGTTTTCCTGTTCTTGTTTGATACAGGATTTCAGCTGCTCATCAGTTCGGGGTCTCCATTTTCATATTTTTCATTTCATAATGTGCCAAATGTTTATCAGTGGGTGACAGACCTGGACTGCAGGCAATCCAATTTTTATACCCAATCATGTTACTGACCTGTTAGCATTACACATCTTTACCAGTCTTTTGTTGCCCCCGTCCCAACTTTTTTTAGAACACGTTTGTTGGCATCAAATTCAAAATGGGCACATATTTTTCAAAAAACAATAAAATTTCTCAGTTTCAACATTTGATATGTTGTCTTTCGTCCTATTTTTAATTAAATATAGGGTTTAAATGATTTGCACATCATTGCATTTTGTCTTTATTTACATTTTGCACAGCGTCCCAACTTTTTTGGAAACAGGGTTGTAAATATATATTTTTTGTTACACTATCAGCCTTAAGATTTGATCTCCACTTCTAAAGCATGATGAATTCCAAATATAAATATTTAGATTTATATAGATGTTATCAATCTTCTATAACTTTATTATTAATCATTCTGTACATAACTTTTTTAATTTGTATTTTTTTCTCCTCAATTTAGTCGTCTCCAGTTCCACCCACTAGTCAGGACTCCCCCAATCACACAATACCACCAGCACTAGGAGGGTGAAGGCTAACACAGGCTTCCTCCGAGACCTGTGAAGCTCCACCGCATCTTTTCATCATTGGACAGCTGAACACGCTTGGAGGAGAACACTAACCGCCAGTTCTGTTATGTCAACTAACACGTCTGCGCTGGCTAGCATCGCACTGAGTGATGGGGAGAAAGGGGGGCCAGGCTGACACAATCCCTCAGTTTAACTATGCATTAATATATTTTGGTTTAAATGTGTATGATTTACCAAACAGAACTGGATTTCCATCTTCGTATGTGAGCAAACAGGTCAACATTTATAAAAGTGCTTTTATTGTGTTTAAATGCTTTTGTTTCTCATGTCAGGGTTGTCTGAGATGAAGAAAGCTGCCGTTTTATTTCTGCACGGCTGTCTTTGTGGAGAGGTGGGAGGTGTTTTCTCTTCCCTCCCATCCCGCCCCTATTGCTCGCTAGCAGCCCAACACGGCGTCACAACATTTCACAACATTTCAATTTTTAAATGATTGAACAAGTGAATGATTGAGTAATTTTGCAAAATCGGTGGAGTTAATATTACAGAAAACACTAATTTCAAATATTTGAACAGTGTTTCCAATCTTTTGTGCAAAACCTCATATTTATAAAGCATGTACAGATTATAAATGCTGTAAAGAGCTCTAATGAGTAACATGGTGTCAAAATCACAAGTAATTACAGGAGAACACTGACCTTTATAGAGTATTCATGGCTTGCAAATGAGGGCACGTGTATGCGTATGTGATTACATTGTGTGTGGACTGGCCTTTAAGGTTTGACCCAGCGTCCACCTGCTCCCACCTGTCAGATCAACTCAACTACTCTCCACAGCAACACAAACACAAACACAAACACACACACACACACACACACACACAATCCTCACTTGTAAGTGCACAATTTATAATTCATTTTGTGTATATTTAAACATTATAGGATATGTATTAAATTGCAGGTTTGATATTCAGTTATTAACTGATTATGATGTATTCAGAGCGGTTCAGAGTGGTTTGGTGAGAAACGCTCCGTTCTAGAGAAACTTACTGAGTCAGAACTGTTCACAGTGGTGGTGATAGGAACCAGACGTCCACCTCTAAAAGTTCCCTCACAGAAAATTATTAAGTTTAAGTGATTAAGTGCCCCTTATTCGTCCCACAACAGGGAAATTTCACCTCCGCATTTTAACCCATCCGTGCAGTGAAACACCACATACACACTAGTGAACACACACACACTAGGGGGCAGTTATTACATGAAACGGTTATGAATTCACTGCCTGATGTCTGAGACAATCTGAGACAATATCTGAAACACCAAAGAGCGTTCTTTTATTGCTACAATCTCATGCTTGTAACAATAGCAGAACCATTTTTGGTGCTATATAGAACCATTTTCAAAAAGAATCTATATAGAACCATCTACAACACATTCTCCAATCTGAAGAACCATTCCATCATGCAAAGAACTATTTAAGCATGAAATGGTTCTATATACTACTAATGGTTCCAAATAGAACCATTTCCTTTATTTAAGAACTCCTGAAGAACCCTCCATAGAAAAGTACTGACCAATAGAATGGGACACTCTGCAGCAGCCAGACATGAGCCTAAGGTCTCCATGCCCAATGCCAAGTGTGGGCAATTGGGCTGTGGAGCAGTGGAACTGTGTTCCCTGGAGTGATGGAGCTCCATCCAATACCTTTGGGATGAGTTGGAGTGATCCAGAACTGATCATCCAACATCAGTACCTGACCTCACTAATGTTCAGATCAAATCCTCACAGCAATGTTCAACATCTAGTGTAAAGCCTTCCCAGAAGAGTAGAGGCTGTTACTGCAGCACAGACTCACTATTAACGCCTTAATTTCAGAAGAAACGCTGGATCAGCGAGTGTCTGCTGACTTTTGGCCACTTAAGGCCAGATTTACTAAGGAGTGCACAAAACCTCATGCTAGGATTTACTATGACGTCAAAAAGCGGTGTTAAAATGCATGCAATTGTTCCAGTCAATTCATGTTAGTAAACTGTGTTGTTATTTTGTCTCCCTATTTTTTGTGCCACTCCATAAAATGTACATTTATGAAATCACATTCCATCGAAAAGGTGTAAAAAGGTGCAGCAGGCTTTGAGGTAGGTTTTCTCGCATTTGATGGGCGTGTCTGAGGCACCAACCAGTCAGCACTGACATGTATATAAAGCCTGGAGTATTAAAAAACAGCGCACACAACGGATTCCTCTATAAAGTCCTCTACAAATACACAACTGAAGACATGAGAAGACATGATTGTTTAAATAAGTTTTTTATTGTGAAATTTTTAATAGAATAAGCTAATAATAACTTTTTTTTAACTTATCGCATGGGTTATATTATGTACATCTCCACAAACACTCTTTCTGTCATGTTTTTGGAAGCATTTTAACTTTATAACGTAGTTGTTTACATAATTAGTGTCATTCATGTAATTCAAACCCATTTCATCAGGCTCCAAAAATTCTTCGAAAAGGACGCCAAGAACGTAACACAACAGAGTGTTTAAACGCACCACTGTTTACTTTCAAATAAGCGTTTTGCTATGGTTTGTTGGGGTTGCCCAGGTGCGTTAAAGCCTGCTCAGTGGCGCCCTCTTGTACATGTGCAAAATGACTGCACGCACATTACATTGCACTGCATTTGTGCCACTGCAAAACCTTTAGTAAATTTGGCCCACAGTGTGTTTGAATCAATTAAATTCAATGCAGATATTTTTTTCAGTGCATAAAAATATCAAAAACTAAAATAAAGCTCCAACAATGTAAAACAGCTGAGACTCAGGTTAAAGGTCAGTCAGGTTCTGATTTGTGTGGACAGGCGGCAGATGTGCCAGGTGTTTTCCCTCCGTCCTCGGCTGCCTGTATTCAGATACAGCGCACAGGTAGTCCCCGCACAGGCTGAGGTTCATGATAGGGTTGTGACCTCTGACCAGTGTTAGGTCCGTCTGTGTGAGGAGAGGCGCACTGACGTGTTTGGAGTGTAAAGGTAAAGGTGTGTGTCTGTAGCTCAGGTGTGTGTGTGGATGATCCGGGTTACTCTCGCTCTCCGCCAGGTCCTGTTTGATAGGGGTCGGTGCTGGAGTGTCGTTCAGGCTGTAGAGAGCCATGCTGGACTGCAGAGGGGTCAGGATGAGCTCGGAGTTAGTCACAGGGGTGCTAGCGGCTATGCTTACCAATGGTGCAGGAGCTAGAAGAGAGAACAGAGCAATAATAGTAACGATGCACTGATATGGACAGATATTCTGAGAATTGTGCAAAAGTGCCCTCATTTCTTTACTTTACAGTAAAACAGCTATTAAGTATGTATATTAAGCCATTAAGTGTATTAATTTATATATTTTTAGATACACCGGCTGCATAAGGAAAGAGTTTCCAAAACTGGAGTTCAAAAAACTGATTAAAAGCTACAGAGGAGAGAGAGTCTCCTAACAACCACCTGAAAGACCTGGTCGACCCCAAAACTGCCCCCATCAGATAAACAGTGCTTAAAGCTTTCATCTCTGAGAGAGACGAGAAAATCAAGCTGCTTCAGATCTGAAAACATCCACAGGCGTTTCTGTCCATCCTTCCACTGTGAGAAGACGACTCAGCGCTGTGGGTCTGAAAGGATGTGTAGCTGTCAAGAAGAACCTCACTGAGAAAAGGAGACGGACACATCAAACAGAGAAGCTGAACGATGGACTGACCACCCCAGAGTCCAGACCTCAACACCACTGAATGTGTTTGATTACTTCAGAAAATGATCAACCAGCTTCTAAGACTGAACTTTGGAGGTGTGTCTGCAGATTCTTTGAGGAACTGAAAGTGAGTCTCCTGAAAAGAATGGAAGCTGGAATAAAGGGAAAGAGTGACTCACTGACTCAAACAGCTGAGATTAGATTCAGCCGTTGAGGCGTCTGTGTGATCTTCTAATCTCTAACACTTCAAATAAGAGGAATCATGGATATTAACCCCTCTGTGTTCTGAGCTCGTTCTCTTGATTTGTTCATCTCTTCTTAAACTCTCCTCTAAAGGCTCTTCATATAACATGATCCTCATATGTTTCATATCTAAATGCTCCATTATCTTCATCACTACTTTCCAAAACCGCTGCAGCAACTTCAGCAGCTGTAAACTCTCTGCACGCTGTTTCACACGAGTCTCCGATGTGGACTGAATGAAGAATGAAGGGTTTCCGGCGTGATGGTCAGTGCTTAGTGATTTCCTGAGTGTCCATTGGTCAGTTTCACAAAGAATGTAGACGGACACATGAATCCACCAGTTCCACACGGTGAGAGGCAGATGATGTGTATCTCAGCCCCTCTTCATAGGCTCATAACTCCGGATGTGAGTCTCGTATGATCTCGTGATAAGATGGGATGGAAAGGGCGACTCTACAGATTCAGGAAGTGTTTGAACTGGATTTCTGTGCTGGATCATCACAAAGATACACAAACAGATATAGAAACAGAGAATTTGATGAGCTGGTGGACCCCAGAGGGTGAAGCTTCAAAGTGGACAGTGATGTCTTTGCACACACATCTCACCTCCTGTTGTTGGAGCAGGGGAGGACAATGAAGGTGACTCAAGAGAAGTAAGGACAAACATCAAGGCTTCATCACTTCCTCCAGTTAAGTTTCTAGGCTCAGGCACCAGGCTGTAGCTTTCAGACTGGATCTTCTCTGATGAGGACACTGGACTGTAGGTTAATCCTGAGCTTGGAGTCGTGTTTTGGGCCATCAGGTCCAAATTTACCCCTTTTATTTTCAGTTCAGGTCCTTTCATGCTGTTTTGGAAGCTGGCATATGGCAGCACACCTTCAGCTTTGTCTTGTGATCCATTCACGTCTTCCTCAACCACCTTATCTACTTCAGCACTGTCTGTTAGAAAACTCTGGACAGGCCCATAAGCCATAGACTGAAGCTCGAGGTGCAGTCCACTGTCGAGGTTCAGTGGAGACTGGATGTAGGAGGAGATTTCATTGTGGTTGATGGCATCATGATGGTTGGCATTACTGAAGATGAGTTCTGTAAAAGATTCTGGGCTTTTCCTGCCCCCCAGTGGCTGGAGGATGACATCGGTGACCTGGTGATTTTCTGTCCCATCTGTAGAGCCTGAGAGAGGAGAGAGATCCTCCAGACCTTTCCTGCTCTCATCTTCACTGGTGGGGTTACCGTCAGACTCACTGAAAGAGAGAGAAAGAGAGAGAAATAGAGAGTGAAAAACCAAACTACTCAACACTAAACTGTCACACATTTGATTAACAACAACAGAAAACAAACCATCACTTTTTAACTTATTACAAAAGTTAAAGCTGCGCTATGTAAGTTTTGGCGACCTCTCTGGTGGAAATGTGTAATTGCATGCAACGTGCAGAACATTTTATAGCATGGGTTGCACTTCGGCCCCCTTCCCCATGCAGATGAATCTGATGATTGAAAGAAAATTCAAAGAGAACTCAGTCTAAACTCGGTGAAGGATGCGTCTCCCGAGGATGTGAGTGAATTATCTACTACTGTCATCATATCTTCATCAGTATAATGTTGATTTTGAGGACATTTGAGGCCTAAACATCGAGCCGGACCTTCTTTTTGAGTCTGTGCGTGTGAATGCGTAAAAATGTACAACGTGGTGTGAAAAACTCTAAAATGATTATTTCACGCCTCAGCAGCGCACACTCACCATATTTTAGCCTGAGAGGAGCCAGTATTTCCTTTCACCTTCACTGTTTCCTCTTATAGCCACATTCTGCTGTATATAATGCTGCTGTTTTCTCTTTATGGGCTTTTGTAAAAGTGACCTTGAGTTTCTGAAAGGCGCTATACATGTGTGTGTGTGTGTGTGGTGTGTTTGTGTGTGTTGCTACACACACACACAGGCAGGTCACCTCCGCCAGGTGCGCTCCAGCTTTGTTCACTGAAATGAAAGAATCTAAAGATGTGAATTCTGTCTCTACAGACTGACTGTGTGTATAAGAGGGAGCGCTGGGGGCAAACACACACACACACACACAGGGTGGGGCACAACACTTAAAAGTAGTGATGGCTGAATACTGAACACACTGAAATATATTCAGTAACTTATTCCATTACAGTACATACAAGTAATATATTCAGCCATAACACTGCCGCAATATCAGGTTCAGCTCAGTTTTGTCAGTTTTTGCCAGATCAGTATTAATGTTGTTTTGTTCCAGCCAGTCTGTAAAGCATCTTACAGCCCATTTAGTTTGGCGAATGGTGTTGGGTTCATTTCTGGCTGATTCCAGGTTGTTCAGCTGTTCTTCTGTCTCAGCTGCCGACTGAAAAGCTGCTCAGTGGTGATGACAGTTTGGGAATTTAGTGTCGTCTCATCTTCAGAGTCTGACCAAATCGGCTGTCGGTCAAATGTGATCTTAAAAATGTCCATTTTCTGTTTGTGGCAAAGTAAGAAGTAAAAACGTTCAAATGTCTTGAGCGCCTCCCTACAGCTGTCAAAGTCGTTGCTTAGCAACGGCGTCTCAGCGGAGTGATACAGCGTTTGTGAAAAACCTGTGATGTTATGGTGAAATAACAGCACAGTTAGAACGCTTCTCAACCAATCAGCTCGCGTGGCCAGAACTAATTAAATATAAAATATATGCCCACTTTGAATTTGATGCCAACAACACGTTCCAAGAGAGCTGGGACGGCTGCCTGTTTACCACTGTGTTTCCCTTATAATGTAATGCACACAGCTGCATTAATCAGGACTATAAGCCAGGTGTGGCCGCCCTGATCAGCTGTGAAGGTGCTCAGTGTGCGTGATGGTGTGATGTTCACCTGGTGCTGCGCGCCTCTCTGGGTTTCCTCTCTCTCTGCCTTCTGTTCTTGAACCAGTTGCTCACCTGCGTCTCGCTCAGCCCCGTTCTCCCGGCCAGCTCCCGCTTCTCGCGCGCGCTCGGGTACCGGTTGCGCGCGAACGCCTCCCTGAGCGCGCGCCTGCTCTTCTCCCGGAAGCAGTAGAGCGTGCGCTCCCCGTCCCAGATAGTGCGCGGCGGTGGGAACTTCCTGCGCACGCGGAACCGGTCCACGGCGCCCAGCGGGCGGCCGCGCGCGCTCTCGGCCTCCCTGTAGCGCGCGCGGAACCACAGGTCCTGCAGCGCGCGGTGGCTCGCGGCGCTGAAGCTGTGGCGCTCCAGCAGCGCGTACAGCTCTCGGTAGCGCGCCTGGTGGAACGCCACGAGCGCGCGCGCTCTCAGCACGCACTCGGGGGCGCGCGGCTGGGAGTTCCAGCGGGAGCGCGCGCAGGAAGCTCGCCAGGCGCGACGTGCGGCCGCTCTGGAGCAGCGCCTCACACACGCACGCGACCTGCTCTGGCGAGAGAGAGGCGAGCAGCGAGACCGGGAGGGGAGCGCGAGACTCTTGCCCCTGGTGTCGCTGTTGTTGCCCCTCCTGTCCTTGTTGTTGTACCTGTTGTTCTTGCTCTTGCCCCTCCTGCCACGGTAGCCCCTCCTGTTGCCATAGATACCGCTGCTGCTCTTCTTGCCCCTGATTTTGCCCTTGTTGCCCCTGCCTCCCCTGTTGTTGCCTATTCTGGTCTTGCTGATGCCCCTGTTGCCCCTCCTGTTGCCTCCCTTTATCTATTGCCCCTGTTGTTGCCTGTGTGGTCCTTCCTGTTGCTTCAGTTGCCCTTGATGCCCCTCCTGATGTCTCAGTTGTTGTCCCTGCCCCTGCTAACAGCCCAGATGCCCCTGTGGTCCTTGCTGTTGCCCCTGTTGTCTTTAATGTTGCCTCAGTTGCATTTGATACCTCAGTTGTTGCCACTGTCGTTACTGCTGCCCCTGGTGATAGTCCAGATGCCCCTGTGGTTCTTGCTGTTGCCCCAGCTGCCTTTATTGCCCCTCCTAATACCTCAGTTGTTGCTGCTGCCCCTGCAGATGCCACCGTGTTCCTCACTGTTGTCTCGTCTGTTCCTGTTTGTTGCCCCTGCTGCCTTTGCTGCCCCTGCAGTTGCCCTGGCTGCATCCCGCCTGATGCTGGGGGGTAAATACTGATCTGGTTTCGGCTCGTGTTTCCTCGCGCTTCTCCACTTTCCCACTTTTACTGTGCCGGGGCGGGGCCACGGGGTCCAGGATCCACGCGATTGGCTAAAGAGTGGCTTTGGGGGGGGTACACACATGTACACACTATACAGACACACACACACAAACCACTTCAAAGTGCAGCTCACCTGCGCCAGGTGAGTAAGTGAAAGGTGACGGGGCACAAAAGCTCAAATACGTTATATTTATTTATTCATTTATATCGATCGTTTATTAATTATAATACAATTAGATGCTTAATTGCTGCTCATGCACCGATCAGGCATAACATTCTGACCACCTCCTTGTTTCTATGCTCATTGTCCATTTCATCAGCTCCACTTACTATATAGGTGCACTTTGTAGTTCTACAGTTACAGACTGTAGTCCATCTGTTTCTCTGATACTTTGTTAGCCCCCTTTTACCCTGTTCTTCAGTGGTCAGGACCCCCATGGACCCTCACAGAGCAGGTACTATTTGGGTGGTGGATCATTCTCAGCACTGCAGTAACACTGACGTGGTGGTTGTGTGTTAGTGTGTGTTGCGCTGGTACGAGTGGATCAGACACAGCAGTGCTGCTGGAGTTTTTAAACACCTCAGTGTCACTGCTGGACTGAGAATAGTCCACCAACCAAAAATATCCAGCCAACAGCGTCCTGTGGGCAGCGTCTTGTGACCACTGATGCAGGACTAGAGGATGACCAACACAAACTGTGCAGCAGCAGATGAGCTATCGTCTCTGACTTTACATCTACAAGGTGGACCGACAAGGTAGGAGTGTCTAATAGAGTGGACAGTGAGTGGACACAGTGTTTAAAAACTCCAGCAGCACTGCTGTGTCTGATCCACTCGTACCAGCGCAACACACACTAACACACCACCACCACGTCAGTGTTACTGCAGTGCTGAGAATGACCCACCACCCAAACAGTACCTGCTCTGTGAGGGTCCATGGGGGTCCTGACCACTGAAGAACAGGGTAAAAGGGGGCGAACAAAGTATCAGAGAAACAGATGGACTACAGTCTGTAACTGTAGAACTACAAAGTGCACCTATATAGTAAGTGGAGCTGATAAAATGGATTTATAAACAAAACAACACTTTCTATAGCTCCTCTATTGAGTTCAGATATAAAACACTCATTGAAAACCACTTTGAATTTGTGCACTTCATAAACAGCTATTAACAGCACAGATATACATTTATATTGGCATTAACGGCAAATGTCCAATTAAATTCAGCTGAATTAATTAATAACATACACTTGGAGCAATAAAATAAAACATATTCAGAAATTAATGTAAAGGAACGACTGGCACTCAAAGCGTTTTCCGGAAGATTTTACTGTTACACCGCTGAGCTATTCGGGGTAAAGTCCCGCCCCTTCTGTGCTGCTATTGGTTACTAGTTTACACTCACAAGCAGACAGCCAATCCTAGCGACGAAGCTGCGATGTGAATAGCCAATCAGAGCCTCCGGAGCGAGGCACAAGCCTGAATACGGGTGTGAAGTAAACAGCGTGTGAAGACCCCACCAGCTATGAGACACGAAAGTAACAGCTTAATAACGCAAATATTCACCTAAATATCGTTATTTCTGGAATCATAACGTCAAAAATAAACAGTTGATCATGGATGATCAGGGCTGTCCGAGGTGCAAGACGACAAAATACAGGAATCCGTCCCTGAAACTGATGGTGAATGTTTGTGGACACACACTGTGAGTATGGAGCTGCTAAGCTAATTAGCTTATATTTAAATTATATTTTGACAATTAAGGACTGAATTACACCAAATTAAACACTGACACGGAAGACTATAACCTCAGTCTGTGTCGGTTTGTAGCTTTCAGGGTAAACAGTGCAGCTTTTATGTTTTTGACAGCACAATAAATAATAAGAACAGCTTCAGTTCCACGAACTTCAGTAAAGGGTTCTTTAGTAAAGGTGGTGGTTTTATTTAGAACCGTAAGTTCTATATAGAACCGTTTGCATGTTTAAATGGCTCTTTGCATGGTGAAATCGTTCTTCAGATTCACGGAGGTGTGTCGGATGTGGTTCTAGATAGAACGTTTTTGAAAATGGTTCTGCATAAGACCAAAAAGGGTTCTTCTGTTGTTGTAAGCTTGTCACTGTAACAGTAGAAGAATGCATGTTGGTGCGATATAGAACCATTTTCAGAAATTCTCTGTCAATCTGAAGAACCATTTCACCATGCAAAGAACCATTTAAGCATGCAAATGGTTCAAAACAGAACCATTTACTTGACTTTACTAAAGAACCCTTGAAAAACCATCTTTTTACCGAGTGTATTCAAGTATATCTGAGGGCAAAACAAATCTGCTCTTTTCTTCTCACATCTTTGTGTCTCACTTTGGAGCTTCAGCATTTTATTTTAGACCAGAAGGATCCAAAAAGAAAACAACAGAACCGAACAAACTTCAGTACCTGTGCTGGATGGAGTATGGAGTTCTACTGCAGCTCTACAGTGGAACTTAGTGCTTCGGGAGTTTTGTTACCTTAGATTTTCTTTCTACTCAACAGCTTTTTGGTCTGATCTTCTGTTCATGGGCCAAGCTAGCACACTTAAAGTGGGAACTTCACCAATTTTTCAAAATTTCTATATAATTAAATGGTTAAGATGTAATCAGAGCGGTTCAGAGTGGTTTGGTGTGAAACACTCTGTTCTAGAGAAACTTACTGAGTCAGAACTGTTCACAGTGGTGGTGATAGGAACCAGACGCCCACCTCTAAAAGCTCCCTCACAGAAAGTTCCTACATGAAATGGTTATGAATTCACTGCCTGATGACTGAGACACTGTTTTATGATAGTTTTGTGATAAAGTTCTGGTCTAAAATCTATTTTAATCAATTTATTTTAACCGTTCATACATGCAGGGCGCTGTGAGGCAAAATAGTCCCCAAAGAAAACTTATTTCAGATTTTCCACTATTTTCCATCATCAACATTCCATATAAACTCAGAAGACTCGTGTAGGTTCACTGGTGGTTCTGGATAGTAAATAAAATGTCTATATGTGTGTTGTAGTCATGGCAACCCCTGGTTCCTATCAACACCACTGTAAAGAAATCATATATAGATATATAGAACCATACACAACACATTCTCCATCAGTCTGAAGAACGATTTCACCATGCAGAGAACCTTTCAATCATGCAAATGCTTCTTTGAGTGTTAATGGTTCTATGTTGAGCTATGTTGATGTTATCTTTACTAAAGAACCCTTAAAGAACCATCCTTTTTAAGAGTGTATTCAGACTCGAACAGTTAACAGTGCTGGAGGGTTTGATTCGGGACACGGCCCGTTTTGTCCGGTCGTCCCCTCGTCGTCCTTGGCCTGTAGAGGACAGAGGGGTTTCTGCTGACCGTGCTGACTGAGAGAGGACAGATCAACACTGACCATTTATTACAGCCTGTGGACGTGCGGCTGGACGCGCGCCAAACCGCTCTCTGTATCTCTGTAACTCCCTGTTTGTCCGTCAGTCCACCCTGCGTCCTGATTTACAGCTGATATGAAACCTCATACTCAGAATGATATTCAGCCATGAATCAAATGTGCACAGTTTCTCCCTGAGCTCAGATGAAGATCAGCCAAGCACTGGAGCTACGAGGCTGATGTAGCTTACAAGCAATTAGAGATTATACCCCACCAGTTAGCATGATGCACCCCTAAATCATTACACACCTCTAACACAACTTAAACTGAAGAAACATGTCTGAACAGGTTAAAGGTTAAAATTTGCACTTTCCTCAAATTGTAAGGTTGATTTTATAGCTAATTTTAAGGCTGAATTTAAGGCGGCAGACTGTAGACGAGTTTCAGAGAGAGAGTGTGTGTGTGAGAGAGAGAGAGAGAGAGTTATGAGTTGCTGAGCAAGAGCAGAGTAACCTCCCATACAGACACATACAGAGATACACAAGGAGGACGAGAGGGAGAGAGAAAAGAGAGGAGAGACCGATTGGGGGAGAAAGACTGAGTTGAGAAAAGAGAGAGAGCAAGAAAAAAAGAGGGGTAAAGAGACAGGGATAGCAAGAGAAAAGGGGAGAGAGAGAGAAGAGAAATAAAGAAAGGGAGAAGAAAGAGAGAGAAGACATAGAGAGGAAAGATAGGAGAGAGAGAAAAGAGGAGAAATGAAAAGGAGAAGATGGAGGAGAAAAGAGAGAGAAGACTGAGAGAGAAAAGAGGAGAAATAAAGAGGGAGAAGAGAAGAAGAAAGAGACTGAGTTGAGAGAGAGAGAGAGAAGAAAGGTAAAGAGAGAAAAAAAGAGAGAGGCTGTGGGTGTTTCAGCTCTGAGCTGAGGCTCCATCGTCTCCTGTGTGATTATTGGAGTCCAGCACTCACATCAGAGTGCGTGTTTAATCCATTAAGGTCTGTTTGAGTTTGGAAAGTTCTGGAAATCCCGGGTGTTTCTGCTGGAAAAGCTGAACGGAATAATCCGTCTGCCAGTAAATTTACACAACAGCACTGATTCATTTTTAAAACTGAAGCTGTAGCATTTTTCTGCTTCCTGAGGTTAATATTAGATTTAAGGTTCTAAAATGATTACATACTTATGTTTATATAATACATTCAGGGCCTGTTATTACATATAGAGACATGTACCATGCATATGAGACAGATGTGTGACCCCCCCCGTCCTGCTGTGTCCATGTTTTGCAGATGTGAGAACTGTGTGGAGATGCTGTTCGTGCGGGGGTCCGGTAACTGTGTCCAGTGCGATACTCCCCTCCGAAAAAGTAACTTCCGTCTGCAGCTGTTCGAGGACCCAGCGATAGATAAGGAGGTGGAGATCCGGAAGAAAGTTCTAAAAATGTGAGTGACGCTTATTATTTATGGATATTCTTTGCTTTTCACTCTTTACGCTCACCGTCCACTTTATCCTAAAGGCTGTTACACACCGAACGCAACGTGGGAAAAGACGTAAAATCGAAATTTTTTCGCATCAAAACTAGACCCAGCGGGGGGGACCGTCTAAGCCAGGGGTCGCAACCCAAGTGTTACACTGCAAAAATGGTATCTTATCAAGTAAAATAATCTTAAATAAAGTCAGTATATGTAATATCTCTCCTGTTGAGACTGTTGTAAGCTTAATTTAAGTTACTATAATATAATGTAGCTGGTAGGATGGACTTAAAAAGTCTCATCTTCTCATCTTCTCATTCGCCAGCTTCTTATTCAGATGTTCCCATTCCACCTTAAATGGTGCAGCAGTTACATTCTGGCACCTCAGGCACCATTTAAGGTGGAACAAGAAAATTCGAACAGGAAGCTGGCGAATGAGAAGCGACTTCAGCCTCGTAAAGAATCGAACGTTGAGAGACATTTTATAAGAAACTTTTCCACTTTTGAGGAACAGTTTCCTGCTGCACAACAGAAAACTGATATTGCGATTATATTACTTTTGATTGCAGTTAGTATGTAATGATGTCACTTGGTGGTACCATTTATAAAACACTTTGATCCGATTACGATAATTCACTGCATTATGTAAAATCAATATGATTATTTTGCTGTTCGTACAGACAGTAATATTCATGTCTCTCTCTCTTTCTCTCTCTCAGTTATAATAAAAGAGATTTTGACTTCCCCAGTCTCAGAGAGTATAACGACTACCTGGAGCAGGTGGAAGAAATCGGTAAGACCCTGTTGTTCATACATAGAGAACAGACTCAGTTTATATCACAATACCTACATTTAGAATCGGTTATTCATTCAGCCTAATGAGAAACTGTAGAACAGACTCAGTTTATATCACAATACCTACATTTAGAGTCAGTTATTCATTCAGCCTAATGAGAAAATAGCATTACTGAATCAGGAGAAAAGAAACACACTAAAATACGATGTGTGTGCGCTGCTGCAAGTCTTTTTGGAGTCTTTATATATTAATGTCACACTCACAGGCTCAGAAAGAAGGTCCAGTTCGAGGTTTAGGTTTCAAATGATCTCAAAATCAACATTATACTGATGAAGATATGATGATATTAGTAGATAATTATCTCATATCCTCAGAAGACGCATCCTGCCCCAAGTTTAGACTGAGTTCTCTTTGAGTTCTCTTCCAATCATCAGAAGCACAACCCACATTACAAAATTCTCTTCTGCACTCTGTGTGCAGTTACATGTTTCCACCAGAGAGGTCTCCAAATCCCCAAATCTTACATCGTGCAGCTTTTTGTACAAACAGTATCCACAATATGCTTGGAAGAGCCTATCCTAACTTAATGTGACATAATCTATTGTGATAGTGTTAAATATTGTCATATTGACCATCCTAATTATATGCCAATCACATTTTTTCTGTCATGTCAAAAACCTGCACAAGAAAGCAGCCAGTGACTGAGTCAGAATCTGTGTTTGTGTGTTTTCAGTGTTTAACCTGACAAACAATGTGGACGTTGAGAGCACAAAGCAGATGATGGAGCAATACCAGAGAGAGAACCGAGACATCATACAGAGAAACAAAGCCAAACTGGTCAGTATGTGTGTGTGTTCTCTTTTCTGACTCACTCTTCAGTTCGATGCATTCTTCTAATAACTGCAACATAATAAACCTGAACTAAAAATGTCTGGAATTGGAACATGATAGCTTTGTGATCACAAATTAGATTTACCCAGTCAACAATCTCCCTCTTCTCCCAAATGTAGTAGATCAGCCAAGATATGTTGGGTGCCTCAAGTTTGTTTCTTTAGTTTTAGCACTGGTTAATGTAGCCCATAAGTAATGGAAGCTTACAGCCCACCAGTTAGCACTGTATAAATATTGCCCACTGGCTTTAAGCGATGTTGAATCTCTAATAGACTTGGGTCCAGTTCTGTTTCTTATTTTTACTCCTGCCTCTGGTTTTCAAGTGTCTCCTTGCCCTTTGGAACTGAGTTACAGGGTAGTGGTTGAAATCTTCCTCTGAAATGGGACCCTCAAATAAACAGAGCATCACTTCATTAACAGCTACCAGCGCTGCTCTGTAGGCGACCCTGCCAGTCTGCAGTGACAGCAGAGGAGGGTAAAGTTCAGCTCCTCACTGCTGGGCTTTAGTTACATTTAGGGCATCATATGCAATTATTTATTATCACCCACCCCTAATTCTTCAGTGATATGAAGCTGAAGTCAGATATTCACCAGCTTCTCATTCGAATTTTTCCATTCCACCTTAAATGGAGCAGCAGCTCTGATGCCTGAGGCACCAGAATGTAACCATTTAAGGTGGAATAGGAAATGTAGCTACTGAGACATCAGCAAATTATTAGCGATTTTTATGCTTGTTATAAAGAAAAGGACCATAATACAGTAAAACGACATTAAACGAAGACAATACAGTGATTATTGTAATTTTTTAACAGAGAAAATTCTCACATTTGTGGGTTTCTTTGATCTCTTGTTCAGCCATCTTGCCGGTTTTTCTTATTTTCTCATAACTCTCTGTTTGGAGCGTCTTTGCCCTACCCCTCTATCTCAGTAAGAATCGTGACACCCTACCCCAAGACGTGAACACGCAAAACGGAGCAGTAGGGCCTCAGTGGTAGGGGTGAAGGGTGAAATGGGATTGGGCCACGATTATGTGGTTTCTGACACTGTATGACTCACTGTTATCTATAAACATGTTTACTGAACAACTCTGCATGCTTTAATACGAGTGTGTGATGATTTATGCATGCAGTTTAACACCATGCTACTTGGCAGAGTGTAAACTTCCATTACTTGTTTGCTTCATTAACCTCATAACTAAAGAAGGAAACCTCAGACACCAAACATGTCTTGGTTGATCGACTGCATTTGGGGTAAAGGGGAGGGAAACTGTGCAAGTTTGATTTTCTGCCAAACTATGACTTTAATGACTGTGGTTTACCGTCTCTCTCTCTGTAGACCCGCGAGCAGGAGGAGCTGGAGGAGCTTTTGTTACTGGAGCAGCAGGACACGCAGCAGCGGAGGCTGGAGACGCTGCAGGAGGAGCAGAGGCAGCTACAGGCCAAAAGGAAAAGCAAGCAAGCCTTACTGGACGAGCTGGTAAATGTTTTATGATTTAGGCAATTTACTGACAACCAACTTCAAACAAGATGCTTATTGACATCTAGTTTAAAGGGCCCATGTCATGGAAAAACTCATTTTCCTCAGTTTATTTTGAAATAAGAGAGTATGTAGTATGTAAACATTGTTCACAGTGCATTTTTGTAAGCCAGCTACAAAAACAGCCGTTTCTGAATTAAATGTTTTGCTGATGTCACACAAACCCACACAATAACAGTTGAGGTCATAAGTTTACATACACCTTGGCCACATTCATCTAAACTCAGTTTTTCACAGTTCCTGACTTCTATTTCTCGTACACATTCCTTCTCTTAGGTCACTAAAGATCACTACTTTATTTTAAGAGTGTGAAATGTCAGAATAAAACTAGAGACAATGATTTATTTCAGCTTTAAATCACATTCCCAGTGGCTCAGACGTTTTCATACACATGGATAGTATTTGGTAGCGTTGCCTTTTAATTTGTTTAACTTGGGTCAGATGATTCGCATAGCCTTCCACAAGCTTCTCGCAATACGTTGCTGGAATTTTGGCCTGTTCCTCTTAACAGAGCTGGTGGAACTGAGTCAGGTTTGTAGGCCTCCTTTCTCGCGCATGCTTCTGCAGTTCTGCCCATAAATATTCTATGGGATTGAGGTCAGGGCTTTGTTATGGCCACTCCATCACCACTTTGTTGTCCTTAAGCCATTTTGTCACAACATTGGAAGTATGCTTGGGGTAATTGTCCATTTGGAAGAACCATTTGTGTCCAAGCTTTAATTTCCTTTGCTGATGTCTTGAGATCTTGCTTCAGTATCTCCACATAATTTTCCTTCCTCATAATGCCATCTGTGTCATGAAGTGCACCAGTCCCTCCTGCAGCGAAGCACCCCCGCAACATGATGCTGCCACCGCCATGCTTCACGGTTGGGATGGTGTTTTTAGGCTTGCAGGGCTCCCCCTTTTTCCTCCATACATAATGACGGTCATTATGGCCAAACAGTTCCGTTATATTTCATCACACCAGAGGACATTTCTCCAAACAGTGAGATCGTTATCCCTATATGCAGTTGCAAACTGTAACCTGGCTTTTTTATGGCAGTTTTGTAGCAGTGGCTTCTTCCTTGCTGAGCAACCTTTCCGGTCATGTGGATATGGGACACTTCTTACTGTTGATATAGATACTTTTGTTTCCTCCAGCTTCTTCTTAAGGGCGTTTGCTGTTGTTCTTGGATTGATCTGTATTTTTCCACCAAATTGTGTTCATCTCTAGGAGACAGAACGCATCTCCTTTCTGAATGTTACAGTGGCTGTGTGGTGCTGTGGTGTTTAAACTTGCATATTAACATTTTAACCGATGAACTTGGTACCTTCATGTGTTTGGAAATAGCACCAAAAGATGCACCAGATTTGTGAAGGTCCACTATTCTCTTGTGTAAACTTCTGACCCACTGGAATTTTGATATAGTGAATTCTAAGTGAAATAATCTGTTTGTGAACATTTGTTGGACAAATTGCTTGTGTCATGTACAAAGCAGATACTCTAAACAACTTGCTAAAACTATAGATTCTTGACATGGAATCTGTGGAGGGGATAGTAATAATAATAATCATAATAATCATAATAAGTATTGTTATTATTTATATAGCACCACATACATTAGAAATGCAGCTCAAAGTGCTTCACAATACAAAGTAAAAACAACCGGAAGAAGAGAAACAAGATAAACAAAAATAATAAACAATAAATATCAGAAAATGGATATATTAATATTACAGTATTTACAATTACAATAAAAAAGCACAAGATAGAAGGGAAAAAATACAATAAAAATGCGACTAAGAAGAAAATAATAAATATATAAATATTGTAGTAAAAACACAGGAAACAATAAAAAAAAAACCCTAGTTAAATGCTAAAGTAAAGCTGAAGTAAAACCAAAACGCTGCGTCTCCGCTCTTTTAAAGTTTCATACGTGGATTATGGAGCAGACTCACACTGGATGATCTTAGAGCTCGATTTGGAACACCATGTATCAGCACTCAGAAATGTATGAAGGTGCTAAAACCTTTAAGCAGCTCAGAAGCTGGTAGTAAATTTTTATAGTGGTTTCTAAGGGAAACAGGCAGCCAGTGATGCTAAAACAGCTCTAAAATGATCTTGTTTTCTAGTCTGTGTTAATATTCTTGCAGCTGCGTTTGGCACAAGTTGTAAATATGAGTTTTAATGACTTCAACCTAAGTGTACATTTGTGCTTGTGTGGTACGTTTTTGCTCATACACACAGATTTGCAACTGTAAATGCCCAATTTAGTAATAACGCTGTCCTCACATATGATAAGTTAGAAGGACCAGTGATGCCACATTTTTAAAAAATTGTAAATCGTGTAACCTGAGGGTTTGATTGTGTGTTAATTCATTTTAATGGTTTATTTTGGTTCATTTTGGTTTTCTGTGTGTAGGAAAGCTCCCAGCTGCCAGCGTCTATCCTTCTGGCTCAGCATAAAGACAGAGCGGCGCAGCTGGAGACTCAGATCGAGAAGCAGAAACAAACCGTCAAACCGGCCACAATCTTTTCTACAGGCATTCTGAAGGTAACACACACAAACACACACACACACACACACACACACAAACACAAACACACACAAACACACACACACACACACATGTTTTTGTTCTATTCATGCAGATGTAATGTGTGCTGTGATCATTCAATTTATCCATGGCCACAAACTTTGAAGTCATTGTGAGGTTTGCTTACACACACACACACACACACTCACACACACACACACACACACACACACACACATTCGTGTACCAGCTTGTTTTGAACTGGGCGTCTTTATGCATGAATGTCAGCAGGAGGTGCTGATAGGAGGTTTAAACTGGGTGATCTGTAAGACTTGCCTGGTCAGAGTGCTTACAGAACTTTAAACTGTACTTCGTTTGCCATGAAAGTCATTTAGTCTGCGTTCACACAGCAGGTAAAAGTGGCCCAAATCTGATTTCCTCACCAAACCCGATTTTTTTGTTTGGCTGTTCAGATTATCTTTTAAATGTGATCTGAATGCGACATCAGTCTGAACAGATCAGCTCCTAAACTGTCAATCACGACCGCCAACGAACGCCAGTCGCTCCCGGAGGATCAGCTTCATCTTCACCAGCATCACAGGAGCCATCATGAAGCTTCACTGACTGACAGCTGGGCTCATCACCCAGAATGTGTTCGAGCCGTAAAAAGGGCGCGGTCACTTCTTTGGTTTGTGTCCTCAGATGCTTTAAACTTTGTGTTCAGACTTTTCTTCGACGCTGCAGCCTCGTTCTCCTGCGGCCGCGTTCGGACATTTCTTTAGAAATCTCTTCGAACATGAAGCGGTTGCGATGAGTGCCTTCTAATTTTTTACGTACAGAAACATCAGCCTAAATGTGTTTGAGGTCTCAGTGGGGCGAAATTATGACGAATGTGGAGTTGGATTGACGGAAAAGTCACATGAATTCCGATCCGGCAATTCAGACTGAGCCGCGCTGCCGCAGAACGGATACGTATTGGATTTCAGTACCACATATGAAAGCGTCTCAAATCGGAATTGAAAATGTCAGATTCAGTGTGTTTATCTGTCCACACTGACACACAGACACACATCTGTGTCACAGATGAGGAAAAAGATCAGATTTGGGCCACTTTTACCTGCTGTGTGAATGTAAACTTGGCCTTAAGGTCATTTATTTTTTATTTAGCTTTGATTTCAACCACAGATACAGTCATAGTTGTGGATGACATGGAAAAAATTAGTTTCACTGCACTTCATGAAATGTTCTTGATGCACAGTGTGTCACGATATTTATTTTTTGTGACAGGGTAAGCTGGAACAGACCAGCGATGCCACAATTTAAAAAAATAATGCAGAACAAATGAAGTGATTTTTATTCAGTGTTTCACAAACGGAACTAAATCCAGTGAAACGGGCTGATTGTGCTCTCTTTGAGATGAAACGTGCCGCACTGGTGGTCTCCACGATAATGATTATGATAATGTGATGCAGTTTGTCCAACCTTATTCAGCTGTGTGCAAAAGTTAGAACACCCCTAAAAAAATAACATTTTGTTGATTTTTTTTAAAGTGAAATAAATTAACATCCTCTACTGAGAGAACACTGACATAAGGCGATATTCTCCTAATTTTAGTGCACAGTTTTTACTCTCTCTCTCCCTCTCGCTCTCTCTCAGGGTCAGACGGTGTCTCTCGCCCCAGTAGCCCATATTGTGGAGGTGTTATATAGATATCAGCCGCTTCACATCGAAACGTTCGGACCACCTGTACCCGAACTGGAGCAGCTGGACAGGATTGGGTAAGACACCACTTTCTCTCTCTCTCTCTCTCTCTCTCTCTCTCTCTCTCTCTCTTTCTCTCTCTCTCTCTCTCTCTCTCTCTCTCTCTCTCTCTCTCTCCATTTTCTCTCACTCTCTCTCTGTCCCCTTTCTCAGCTCTCTTCCCTCCCCCCATTCTCTCTTTCTCTCTCTTTTTCACCTTTCTTAGCTCTCTTCTCTCTCGCTCTCGCTCCCCCTTTCTCCCTTTTCTCTCTTCTCTTTTTCTCTCTCGCTCTCACCATTCTCTCTTTCTCTCTCACTTTCTTTTCCCCTCTCTCAGCTCTCTTTTCTCTCTCTTCTCTCTCTCTCTCTCCTTCTCTCTCCCCCTTTTCCTTTTCTCTCTTCTTTCTCTTGCTCTCTTTTCCCCTTTCTCAGCTCTCTCTTCTCTCTCTATCCCATTCTCTTTCTCTCTCTCTTTTCACCTTTCTTAGCTCTCTCTCTCTCTCTTTCTCTCTCGCTCTTGCTCTCTGTCTTCTCTCTTTCTCTTTCCCCCCTTTCTCAGCTCTTTTTTCTCTCTATTTTCTGACAGAGATAAATGATTGTCTCTTATTTAAATAAATAAACCACATTTCCCATGGTGCACCCTGCTCTCAGGGTAAACAGGAAGTGTACTGACATTTCTGCTGTGTGTGCAGTTTCTCTCTCTCTCTTGCTCACACACACACACACGCTCACACACACACACACACACACTCACACACTTTCACACACACACACACACACTCACACACTTTCACACACTCACACACACACACGCTCTCACACACACACACACACACACACACACACTCACACATTTACACACACGCTCACACACACACACACACACACACACACACCATACACACACACACACACACCATACACACACACTCACACACACACACACACACACACATACAGAACAGACCCTGTGATGTGGTTTATGCTGAAAGAAGGACGAGAGACAGAGAGAGACTTGCTCTGTGTCACAGAGGGGTTACGAAAAGAGAAAACAGGGTGGATCCTTTCTTTTCTTTTTCTTTTCTTTTTTTTTTCTCCTCCTTTTCATCTGTTTTTTTTTTTAACTATGCTGTTTGTCTTGGTTAGAGATTCAGCTGACAGCGAAGCCTAAAGGCTTATTTACAGCAAGTACGAATTTTTTGATATGGAAAAAATCGAATGTGATTTGTAACGTAGTGTTCACAAGAGAACACGGGAAGCAGTCTGAAGAGGAAAAGTGAGTAGTTGAGACAATAGATTAGTAATATTTGTCTTTTATGCACTCCAGCTGAAAATACACGACAGCCGAGCGTGAACAGACTAGTATAGATACGCAGAAAAGTCTGTGAACGGTCGCTGAGATGCAGCGAAGTACTCAGCGTCTTTTCCACCCTTTGAGCTGTGATCCGCCAGGCATCAAGTGTTTGGCTTGATGTTAAAACCAGCATTAAAAAATTTAAGTGAATATTTTCCCATAAAGCCCGTGGCTATTAATTTTCATAATTTTATTTTCTATTATCTATGGTTTTTGTGATGCTTTTACTATGAACCGTCAGAGAAATAATGCTGTTGGTCTTTTCTGTTATGAGTTTAATTATTTTTAAATGCCATTTTCTTAAAGGTGCAGTGTGTAAGATTTAGCGCCATCTAGTCGTGAGGTTGTAGATTGCAACCAGCTAAATCCCCCTTCCTCACCCCTGCCTTTCCAAGTGTGTAGCAGAACCTAGGGTGGCCGTCAGGTTTTCTTTTCTGTTTTCTGTACTGGTTTAATTTTGCTTCTTCGTGTTTTCTCTTCTTTGACGGTGAAGATTCACCCTTCCTCGCTTTTTATTATGCTGAATAAGTCTGATCCTCCGTTTGTCAAAATTTGGGTTCTCAAACTTTTCACAACACAAAATGGTCAGCCAGCACTGCAGCAACCACTGATTCTTCTTCTTCTTCATTTTGGAATGTGTGATATCTAGCGGTCCACCTTAACTGTATGAATAAAACTATACATTAGCTTAATATTACTTTAGCCATGTAAATATGACCGTGTTGACTTATAACGGGAGCGTGTGTGGCCTCTGTTTCATGAGTATGGTCCAGCAGTTGGCTGAAGCTGGTGTTACACTACACGACTTTTACACTGATTTTAGCTCGATTCTCAGTCTGGCTGAGTCTGAGCTGGTCGGCTCTAGTCTGCAGCTTTTTGGGTCAGTTGGAGTCGACAGTCGGAGAGAGAGTCGAGTCGTGTCTGAGGGGTGTTGACTCCGATTTTTGGCCTCTCGATCACGTTTGAGACCAGTTGGAGTTTATCAAACGTTTGATTTTTTTCGACCCAACTCTGAGCGAAATCTAGTGTAAACTGATCAACGACTCAATCTGAACAGATTCCTGCAACAACCAATAAAAACAGAGCGCGAAAGAAGAAAATACACAAGTAAACAAAGAAAAATGGTGAAAAGTCTGTCAGGTGTTGAGCGAAGCTTTTAATGAGCTGAGTTTATGATACAATCAAGTTTATGTACATTTAAAACTCTAAAAAATACTAAACTGATCACATTTTTAATCAGTGACCCTCACTTAAACATGTTCACCTGCTGCTTCTTCACTGTGTCGGCGCAAACGGCAGAGAGAACAGCAGCAGCAGCTCCATGTTTGTTTATTTGGGTCTGCTAGTAACGGGAGAACGCAAGAGTTTGTGAGAGTTCAGTGAGCTCAGTTTAGTTCAGCAGCAGATTAAAGGTCGAGTAGTGTGTGATCCCTAATCGTTTAGTATGTGGTCTTTTTATAATGTGTTAAGACTTTAAAAGTCGTGTAGTGAACCTGGGCCTAAGTAGTTAAAGGTTACAGATGTAACGTTAGTGTTGAGCGATCAAATATTGGGCACCAAAATGTCTGTGATCTACTCATCATAAGATTAAAGCCTGACTTCTGTAATATCTGTAATATCTCTGATAACAGAGGGACAAAATCTATTATTTAATCATAGTAATGAAAAATATCAGAGTTGATTGTACACAGCCCTGGAGAAATGGCCACTAGGGGCGCTGTAGAGTGAGGTTAAGTGTGTGTGTGTGTGTGTGTGTGTGTGTGTGTGTGTGTTGACAGTAGAGTTGGTGGTGATTTATGTTGGAGCGGCGTGTGTTTTTGGATAGTTGACTATAAACCCACTCCCATAAACCCCTGGGGCGCAGAGTCCCCCCCCCAACACTCTCTCGCTCTCTCTCTCCCTCTCTCTCTCTCTCCCTCCCTCTCTCTCTCAGTTCTGTACCTGTATAAATAAAGGTTGGGTTGAGCACTTTATTAAAGACAGCTGTGTGAGTGTGTGAGTGTGTGTGTGAGTGTGTGTGTGAGTGTGTGTGTGTGAGTGTGTGTGTGTGTGTGTGTGTGTGTGAGAGAGAGAATGGAGGATGGAGGAATGTGAAAGGTCCATTCAGGAGCCCCTTTTCTCTCATTATATGAAGCTTTTTAACACACACAGACTGAAGTGGTGACTCAGAACTGTTAATCATATCATGTTTTTGCTCTTTGTTTTATATATATAATCATAGATTATTGCTTCCTGGAAGATCTGAGAGATTTTCTGTCTAAAAAGACGGAGAAAGACAGAGTTTCCCAATATTCACACACGTGTGTCAGTTTTTTTCTTGGATTAAATGGAAAAAGTTCACAGTTCGATTACTCTCATCTTTACTGAGGGTGCCAGTAATTATGGCGCTGACTGTGTAATGTCTGGAGTCCCGTTTTCTCTGTAGCTTTTAAATATGTTTTGAACTCCAGTTTTGGAGACGCCTGTTTTTTCACTTTTCATTTTCCTTTAACTTTATTCTTCCTTACGTGAGTGGATTATCTTCTAATCTTCTATCTGGTCAGTTATAAAGTAGGGAACAAAACCTTGCATCTCCAAAATGGTAACTTTACAAGAGAAGGAAAAAACATACTGTACTTGTAATGTAAGTATATATATATATATATATGTATGTATGTATGTATGTATGTATGTATGTATATATACAGGGTGATTCAAAAAGATTTATCCGATTTCAAAATGATTTATTTCACTTGTAAATCATTACAGATCAGTGCAGTGAACTATAAATGGTTTAAATGAGCACAAAGTTTATTATGTAACTGTACAAGGTCTCAGTATGAACCTCCTCCAGCTGTACAGACAACATCAACGCCATAGTCAAACTCATCCCATACTGGATTGAGCGTGTCGGGTGTCGCTGCACTCACGGCTCTTTCAGTGCGATTTCGGAGATCATCCAGTGTTGTGGAACCAACGCCGAACGCTCTGAGCTGCTGGAGCTTCACTGCCCACGAAAATCACACTGCACAGTTATGACGGATTCACTCTTATTGAAGTGGAGAACGCAGAACGCTTTCTGCTCAGGGGTCTCATCTCCTCTCAGACTGAAGGGAGCCGTCTTCCACTGACAGTCAGAAACTCTATGACCCCCTCTTTCAGTTGGATTGTGATTGGTTCCTAGACGCCTCACGGTTGGAAAAATATGGCGCTTTGAAATCGGATGAACCTTTTTATATATATATATATATATATATATATATATATATATATATATATATATATATATATACCAGCTACTCTTTACGTTGTGTTAAAATGTTATGATGAGTGAGCCAATAAAACTTGCTTGGAAACAAATCCACGGTTCCATTAACTCCTATTCAAAGTTGAAGTTTACCTTTTTGGAGGTACTAGGTTTTGCTAGTAATGATTTTATATATATAATCGTTTTTTTGAGAAAAAAAACCTCGTATCTCCACAATAAGAACTTTACAGGAGAAGGAAAAAACATACTTTACTTTTAATGTAAGTCAATGGAACCAGAGTTTTTTCCAAGGTATTTTGGGACAATTCTGTTAGTCCAATCATCATGACATTTACACACAATGTAAAGGGTAAAAGTCATTTTTACATTATGTTAAAACCTTAAAAACGACAAAACGGATATACAAGGTTTTGTTCTGACAGCAGTGATACAAAAAC